TCTGTACTTTTTTTTTTTTTTTTTTGGAAGCAGAAACAAACGCTTCAGAATTCGGTGTTATCCGTTCATGTCCTGCATTAGAAATATTATTGTTTCTGCTCTCTGGATGAGGAGCTAGGCATCAAACTGGAGACCCAAAGGCACCCAGGGATGTGTACAGGAGCCTGCTGGGTGGGCAGGGTCAGAGCTGGGGGAATGCAGACAAAGGCTGTAAACACACAGAATTCATCACTGCTCGTGCACAGCAATCTCCAGAGCACTGGGCAGYGAACAAACACAAACAGAACATGTACTGCCACGAGCAACTCCCTGCCTACAGGAAGGGAAGGGAGCTGTAAAGTGACTTGTCCACCATCACTGATGTCAAACATCACTGGACTTCTGGTCCATCACCTCATTTTGGGTCACTGTCTCATGATACACGTCTCTTTTCCTTGTCCACAGCTTTTTGTGATCCAGTGGTCAGTCATGACCCTTTGGGCTGATCACCTGGGACCTCTCTGAGGCAGATCTCTCCTGAGAGGCTGAGAAGTTCGTCTTTGCAGATGTTTCCTGATCCAACAAGGCCGGATGAGATCAGACTTCAGCAGGGCTGATTGCCTTGGATCATAGCAAGATGCTGAGTTATGGAAATAAATAAATAAATGCTCCAAACAACTCTATGCAGCAAAATTTGTTCATGTGGAGTATTACTAGATACTACATCAGGTCAGATAAATCTGCCCTGGAAGGTAAAGGCCAGTCACCGTGTGCTGTACAAACACACACTGCTGATACCAAGAGCAGGATGTATGACAGCAGGGCTTGAAGAAAGCAGGTCTGCTCCCTGGCAAAATGTGACTCCAAGGGACAAAGATTGCATGACATAGGCAAGGAAAAGATGCTCCAAGAAAAGATGTACAACATAATCTCACACTGAAATGAAAACCCTGGCAAACCAGTCTTTGTCTTTATGTCATGTTTATTACTGCTTTTCAAATGCTTCTGCAAACCAGGAGAATAACTATGGCAACAAAGAACTTCTCCAAAGGTTTTCAGACTCTATTTTTAAAATTGTCTTCTCTGTCACAGCATCCGAATTCCTTCCCTCAGAAACCGACCGTATGCCACTGCCTCTGCAGGCTTTGCAAACCAGGTGGCACATCCCCCCTTCCTCAAACCAGAGCTCAAATACCACCCTGAGATCCGGGTGTCCTGCATCCATGTTTTTAGCTGGTGGGCTTGGGGAAGGCAGAGAGCAGAAGAACAGCAAGGTTTGTTGAATTGCAAGTGTTTTGCAAGGCTTTCTCACGGAGCAAACAAACCACGGCTCCGTGTGCTAAACACATGCCAATCTCCCAACACGAAGGATCCTCTGATCCTCTATTTTAGTTGCGGCACCAAGGCTGTAATTTCACTTCACCCAGAGTAAATCTGAAATTAGTTCTTCACAGTAARCGTAACAGCAGCAAAAGCCAACCATTTGTCACCTTTAAGGTTTGCATATTCACACTAATTGCACCAGGACTAGGTTATAAATTCCCTTTCCTGCTCCTGGACCACCTCCCTGGAAGGCTTTTCTCTGCAAGACATTATGCAAAAGACACTCCTAATGGCTATTCATTCACCAAACTCCTGTGACAGCTTCATTTAATGCCAAAGCTTGTTAACAAGCTGAATGGCACACAGTTTAATGTAATGCAGATCTGATTAGAAAACAGCAACCGGGCTCCTAAGGAGTTCAATTTTTATTGAATTTGATTTCCCTTTTTCCGCACAAAGCCACCTTTCAAGTATTGACCTGCCTTAATGGGGATTTGGTTAYGTACACCCCATTTCCATCCTCCCAGACTGAAGCCCACACAGATGAACTCAGCCCTTTCACACTTCGCTGACAGCCCACCACAGCAGAGAGGAAAGAGTCGTTTTATTGCTCAGGCCACGAGAAATTCAGCGTTTTACTGGTTATAGCTTGATAGCTGTGTCCTCATAGACTTCACGCCCAAGGAGGGTGGAATTCAATCTTCAGCCTTCTCAGACAAACCACTTACTTTCTCCTCTTTGGAGCTAAATGATTTAAAGCTAAAAATTGAATTTCTGCCTTACAACAAGAGACAGAGATCTGTGGTGAGCAAKAGAGAGCTTTGAGGGGGTAAGACGTAGGCGTTGGGCTCTGGTTTAACTGAGGTGTTTTCAATTCCTTGCTTCCACCAGAATAGCATTAAATATGCTGACACTGCTACAGGATAATTCACCCACTACCTTCAATGTGGGATTATAATTCCAGAGCAAAATTACGAAGATCCAAAAACAAACTTCAAAAACCAGGAACGTTGTTTAATTACTTAACAACCCCCTTTCATCTTGCTTTTGCAACATCACCTRCGGTACAGAGACCAGGCTTACTCTGAAAACAGTTCTGCAGAACACAATTTATTTTCAAGAGGTTTCCCTGTCTCAGGAAGCATGCCTGTGCTTCCAAGAATGATAAATTCAACCAACGCTCAGAGCCATCTCTGAGAAAAGTGGCTTTTAAGGCAACATGCAAGCACCAAAATCTTCATCGTCTAACATAGCAATTTGCCTGCTTGATGGAGTGCCTGCACAGATCACATCTAAAATCACAGGTAAGTAGAAAATACATAGTCCAGTATAATTAGGACAATGCCTGTCTCAGCAATGGTTTCAGTGCCTGCAATCTTGTAAATTCTGTCTCCCTAAAGCGCATTGCCAGCCTGCATCTTCAAAGCAAGAAGTCCCATTTACATTTATCAGCAAAACTCCGCTGTTAAAGGATTATAAAAAGCCCTAGAAATCTCTAGTGGTCAATTGATCTGGATTTATATCCCTAATCTGAGGATCTCCTTGCAAACCCTTGTTTTCCACGTTCAGGTGAGCAGCCCCAGCAGGCAGTGGCTGCATCACCTCGTGCACAGAGGGCACAGRCTCCTCAGCATGTTCTCAGCCTACAAAACTACTGTGAAAAATTTGCCTGCTTACCTATTCCTGGCATTAACAGACCACTGGCTAGTAAAAAATGAACGCATTTCCTCCCTATTGTGTTCTGGCAAATAGGCTGCCTTTATTTGGTTTAATTGCGTAATTACTCTTATATCAAGGCAATTAAATGGGAATGTCTGCAGGGGGGCTCTCAGCTCATTGAGTCCTGGTGTAAAGGAACTTGGTGTAAGGTCTAACCTGCTCAGCAGGATGCAAACCTCTGAGAACAGAGGCTGCAGGGCCTCCAGGGCTGACCCCACCCATACCCAAAGGGTCCCCATCCTGCTCCTGCCCCGGGTGACATAACCACTTCTTTCCTGAGAGAAAGCTGCTGGAAAAATCCAGTGTTTTAGCCAAAATCCTTTCCCATGTCTGGGGTCCCTCAGAAAAGGAGATGGTTATGTGTTGTCCTGGCAGGCTGGAGCCTCCTGCACAGGGGGTTTGGCAGGATCTGATCAAGAGGCACAGAGTGGCAGTGCAGAGGGCACAACCTGAAAAAAGCTGTGACATCCCTCTCATCTGACACTACCCTGGTAGCTGGGTGCCCTTTCTGCTGGGCCATTTGGTGAGATGCTTTCAAAATTCACCTAATTCTTCAAAAACTACTGTACAGTTGTACCCCATGACATAACAAAACACGAACCCCAACACCTCACAAGGCCCTGGAGCAGGGGGGAAATGCTGTTGCTCACCACGGCTTTCCTTCTTATCCTGCATTTGAAAGTTCTCCTTGACATTTTTAAGCATTACAGAGCAGCTCTGCAGTGACACCAGGAAACCCAGGATAGCCTGGGAAAGCCTTAAAAAAGAAGACAACTCCGGGGTGACCTTATAAATCTATTACTGCGCACGTGGTAGATTCACATCATTGGGAGGGTGTCAGGAGATTCCRTCTCCTTCAGCCCAGGAGAAAGGGGCACCTTGAGCTCCTGAAGGTGTGAGGTGGGACAGAATGCACTTGGATGTGGCATCAGCACCTGCAGAGGGCCAGGCTGGAGCGCCCAGCTCCTCCGCCTACAGAACCATCCTACCACACCCTGGGGCCAACACCATTGGAACAATGATTTGCAAGGCTGAACATTAAGATACAACTCAACAGGAATATATCAGTTCCTCTTCGTGCTCTGAACCCRAGCTTTAATCTGGTGAGACACAGCTCCGAGAAGTAGGGCAGAGGCTGGGAGGAACGCCAAGCACAGCAGATGCTGGAGAAAAGGGTATACCCTGAAAAATAAGGTTAAAAGGTCGCCAAGGGCTCCCTGGCCTTCTAAGACTGTGCTCAGCTCCCAGAGCCCACAGCCCAGATCTAATATCACCAAGTCCCAGCTCGCCCATCAGCAGGAACTCATTTCGAAGCAGTGGAACCCGGAGAGGGGAGCAGGGGTGACCCGGCACAAGGCTGGGGCTTGCTTTGCTTAGCAGGCGCCGGCGCTGTCAGGTTTGTAAAGAGACACAACACAAATAGCCAAAAATACTTGTWCATTCCTACACACTCCCATCCATTTTCAACAGCTAAATCTCTGCTTGGCATCACYGACAGGGGATAAATCCAGTCACGGGGGAGGCAGGAGTTTCACGCAGCGGTTTGATGCAAACCGCCAGAACCCCTTCAGCTCCATTTTCCTCTTCCCACCCCGCCCCACCCAGGTTGTCCCTGCCAGGTGAGGGCGGCTTCAGCCCCCGGCGCGACCCGGAGCAGCAGGACGAGCCCCTGACCGCAGCGGGGAGGCTGCGAGTTGGTAATTACCAAACCAGTTACCCCAGTCCCGCGTCTGGAKGGTGCTGCGCCCCGCACCGGCGGCRGCCACGGGCWCACCTGCGGGGCACACCTGCGTGGGGATGGAAAACCCACCCGTGTGCCCAGAACCCCCACCCTGGGTGGGCAACAKGCTCCCGGCTAACACAGGCACTCCCAAAATAGCCACACCTGCACCCCGGAACTGAGGGAGCCGCAAACCCTGCGAAGGGAGAGCCAGGACGGGATGGGCCGGGGGGAAGGCGGGGGTCTCGCCGGGTCTTACCTCCACTTGTGCAGGGCGAAGCCGGGGCACTGGTCCCCGCACGTGTTGCAGGGCTGGCCCCGCTCCGGCTCCCCCGACGCCGTGAGCTGCAAGGAACGGCAGAGTCAGCGCCGGCTGCGGGACGGGGGGACGGGGACAGGGAAAGGGGCACGCCCGGGGGAAAGGCACTCGCACGGCTGGGACAGAGAGAGCAGGGGAAGGGCTGGAGGGGGACACACCGCGAGCAAGGGGCGCACGGGGGCGGAGGGACCCGCTCGGCGCCGGGGCGCAGCCGGAGCGGGCGGCGGGACGGAGCCACAGGTTGGAGCGGGGCAGGGCGAGGGGAGAGAGAAAGAGAGAGAGACMCCCGGCACTCACCGAGCGGCTGGAGAGCCGCTTACGGGAGCCGCGGCCGAACATGGCAGCGCTCCCGGCGCGGAGCCCAGCGCAGCCCAGCCCGAGTGCGCGGCAGCAGCGGCCGCCCCGGCCCGGCCCGGCCCGCCCCTCAGCCGCCCCTCAGCCGCGCTCCCGCCCCTCACCCGCCCCTCAGCCCGCCAGGCACCGCCCCGCCAGCGATCGGCTCCCCTCAGCCCCGCTGTCATCGCTGTTCTCCCGAGTTATCCGCGCTCCCCGCGCCCTTCCCGGTGCCCTCGGCTGCACCGCRGTGTCCCCGGTATGCTCCAGAGCTTGGCGGGTGATAGAGAAGCTGAGCTCCCSAGGGGCACAGGTGGCCTCAGCAGGGCGAAGGGTTAAGCACGCTGAGGTTACCTGCGCTGGGCAGGGGSGTTTGACTGGCCCGGGCGGGGAGCGAACAGCCAGATTTCTGCCGGGCTTGTGATCCCCTCCTCAAGGAGAACGGATTTCGTCCGCGAGCACGAGCAGGGTGCAGGAAAAAACACTGTCACGGGAAATGTATTTGTAGCCTGAGATGCTAGACTGGGACACAAAGCACCTGTTGGAGCTCCGGAGCTCACGGTCCTGCTGGAGCTACTTATGGGCCAGCAGGGCTGTGAGCCCGGGATCTATAGGGCTGGGAGCTGGAAGCCTGGGATCCATGGGGCTGAAAGCTTTGGGGCTGGGATCCATAGGACTGTGAGCCCAGGATCTATGGGGCTGTGAGCCCGGGATCCATGGGACTGACAGTCTGGGATCCATGGGGCTGGCAGCCTGGGATCTATGGGGCTGTGAGCCCGGGATCCATGGGGTTTTGGGCCCAGGATCCATGGGGCTGTGAGACTGGGATCCATGGGACTGACAGTCTAGGATCCGTGGGGCTGGCAGCCTGGGATCCATTGGACTGTGAGCCCGGGATCCATGGGGCTGTGAGCTTGGGATCCATAGGGCTGGCAGCCTGGGATCTATGGGATTGGAAGCCT